TATTTATGACATTGGATCCAAATATCACCTGACTCCAAGGTTATTCTGGGTAGCAAGCATTCTAGAAGAAGACAATGGCAAACCAACAGTTCATGAGTTTCCATGAAATGTAATGAAGATTATTATTCACTTTAATGTGATTTTGGCTTAATACACTTTTAGTTTGATGCATTATATCAGCCCAGCTTCTTCTCTTCTTCTTCTTCTTCTTTTTCTTCAGCGTTTGTCTCGCGCTCGGGCGAGGTCCGCTAATGTCCTTGAGTACTGCTTCCACACCTCTCTGTCTGCCACGCGTGTCGGGTCTGCCTTCGCGATCTCTAGATCGGCCTTGATCGTGTCCATCCAGCGTTGTTTAGGTCTACCACGCGGTCTCGCTCCTCCGACAGTCACCTTCATTACAGATTTGATGATGGATTCTTCCTTGGCGCGGCTCACGTGGCCGAACCATCGTAGCCGGGACTGCCTCATGACCGTGGGGATGGGCACGACGTTGAACCGTCTACGCACTTCTTCGTTCCTGACGCGATCGAGTAGGGTGAGGCCTACCGACCATCGGAGCATTCGCATCTCCATTATCTGGAGTCTGCTTTCGACTTCTTTGGTCGTCGGCCAGCACTCTGCGCCGTATATGGCCACGGGGCGCACCACAGAGTTATAGATTTTCGCCTTCAGGCGCATCGGCATCTTCTTGTCACAGAGGACGCCCGTGACAGACTTCCATTTGCCCCACGCTGCATTGATCCTGGCTGCCACCTCAGTTTGTAGTAGGCCTTCTTCCCCAAGAGTAGTTCCCAGGTACTTGAAGGTGGAGGCGCGCGGTAGCTCCTGCCCGTTCACGTGGATGGAGCCTGTCATTTCATTGTCAGTGGTCAGGTATTCGGACTTCTTTAGGTTCAGCCGGAGCCCGAACTGCTCGAGGCGGTCGTGCCACTGTTGGACTCGGTGCTCGAGTTCAGCCTTGCACAGGTTGGCCAGGAACACATCATCGGCGTAGAGCAGCGTCCATGGGGCGGGCGTGTACAGGTCGTGTGTAATTGTGTCCATCACCAGAATGAACAGCAGTGGTGAGAGAGCAGAGCCCTGGTGTACGCCGACGGTAATATTAAACTCCTCTGATATCCCAGCTGCCGCTTTTACACGGCTTTTGTGACATCTGTATAGGAGTTGGACCCATTGTACGAGCAGCTCAGGCACGCCGTGATCTCGCAGTGCGTACCAGATGAGATCGTGCGGGACTCGGTCGAAGGCCTTTTCCAAGTCTAGGAAGGCGGTGTGGAGCGGGATTTTCTTCTCTCTGTGAGCCTCCATCAGCATCCGCACACCGAAGATGGCGTCGGTGGTGCCGCAGTTCTTGATGAATCCAGCCTGGTTGACGCTGATGTCGACGATGTCCCGAATGCGCTTATCAAGGACGCGTTCAAAGATCTTCATAGTGTGTGACAGTAACCTGACCGGTCTGTAGTTGGAGCAGTCCGCTGGGCTGCCCTTTCCCTTCCAGATCGGAACAGTGGTGCTGCGGTACCAGTCGTGTGGCACTTTTCCCGTGGAGACGATGTTGTTGAACAGCTCGCACAGCCACAATGCCGAGCCCGGTAGTGCCTTTTTCCAGAAGTCGGCAGGGATGTCGTCTGGTCCTGTTGCCTTACCGTTTTTCATGGCCTTGATGGCGTTGGCGACCTCGCTGGCATAAATGCCTGAGACTGGGCCTTCAACTGGGTCACCTCGCGGGGTTCGTGGGTGTGGGAACTCCTCGGTGGAGATCTTCTCGAAGTATTGCCGCCACCTCTCCGCAGCGTCTCTGGGGTTGACGATCAAATTTCCCCTTTCGTCGTTGATCCCATGAAACTGGTCAATGTCCAGGGTCTTCCTGTGTCTGCTTTTGGCTAGGCGGTAGATCTCATTCTCGCCTTCTCGCGTGTTCAGCTTCTCGTAGATGTCATCGTAGTGGGAGCTTCTGGCTGTCGCTACTGCTTTCTTGGCTGCCTTTTTGGCCGTCTTGTATTCGCAGAGCTTCTCGCTGGTCTTGTCCTGAAGAAAGGCCTTGTAGAGCCGTTTCTTCAGGTGTACGGCATCTTGTACTTCCGGTGTCCAGAGCCATGTATCTCGTTCGATGCGTCTCCGTCCTGGCTTGGTGCAACCAAGCTGTTGGCAGCCGGCAGTGTGAACAGTGCTCTTCAGCATGGACCACGCTTCCTGTGGCCCGTCGACCATCTGCAGGAACTGCTCCGGTTTGATGAGGGGTCCCGCCATCTTCTTCTGGTTCCACCACTTGATTCGTGGCTGGTCTGCATTCCTTTTGTCAATCCTGGTCTTGGGCTTGCTGATCCTGATCTTCGCCATCAGCGGCCTGTGCTGACTGCTCGATTCGTACGGGTACACCTTGGCGTTGAGCACGTTTTTAGCGGCTCTTCGTCGTACGATGATGTAGTCGATCTGTGTGTGGTGGCTCCCGTTTCTGCTATGGTAGGTGAGGAGTTGAGATTCTCGCCTAATGAAGCAGGTATTCGTGATGGTCATATCATGGGAGTCGGCAAAGTCCAGGATCCTCTGGCCATTCTCATTCGTATCGCCTGTGCCGTGCCCACCGTGGCACTGGTGTCCGTTTTTGTCCCGCCCTACATGACCATTCAGGTCGCCCGAGATGATGATGTCATCTTCGTGTGGGATCTGCCTGAGTTGGATGTCGAGCAGTTCCCAGAAGGTATCCTTCTCCTCCTCGTGACATCCGGTCTGAGGGGCGTAGGCGGACAAGATGTGTAGGCGCTGCCTCTCGGTCGCTACGACGATTATCATCAGTCGTTCTGTGAGGCGCTTAACTTCTGCGACGGAACTTTGCCAGCTTGGACTGACAACCACAGCTACACCGCCGCGGTTTTCCTTACAGCTGGTGTATATGATCTTGTAGCCGTCTATAGTCGTAGCCTTGTTGCCCTTCCAGCGAGTTTCCTGGAGGCAGCAGATGTCCAGCTTCCTGTCCCGCATGGCCCTGACGATCTCGGTCGAGCGTCCAGTCAGCGAATCCACGTTCCAGGTGGCCACCTTGAGCGTCTGGCAGTCCTCTGTTCCCCGCTTGCGTTTTTTCACACGGATCGGGTAGTCTCTGTGCGCATCGGACCCGGACGCAGTCGCCATAGCTTTCTCACACGGTGCAGGTGCGCCGTGCTTTCCACGTGGACCATTTCGTTGATTTTTGGCGCAGGCCAATGGTCTCCTGCGCCCGTCGGTTCCCCCGAACGCGGTAGCATTGGACGTGTGTTTTGTAGTGGATGTTTCCACCATGTTGATGCGGCATTTGAGTACTCCAGCCGGCCTGTCGCGTGGGCCTGTCGTCGGAGGGTCTGCTCTCAGTTACGGTCAGCGTTTGACAGCTTCGCGCATCCAGGGGACACCACTTGGAGGTGGCAGACCGCTCGTCCCCTTATATCAGCCCAGCAACAGGTAGATTATTCAGCAAATCTGTGATTAAGCAACCCTGGCCCAGAATGATGCCTGAATACTCTTTATTTCACTATTTACTATCAATCTCTCTGTTTTGTTTTTACTCTGTGTAGTCCTCAGGTAACATTTTTTGGAACTTAGAGACAGAAAAAAGTGAAGTAGAGCAACCGATTGGTCAACATATATATGCTGAAAGGAAAGGATAAATGGGCTGCTTTTCACCTCCTTTTTTATTGTCCTTGAAAGCCATCACAGAGATATGCCAATGTTCCTGGCAGCTGTGGTTGCTAAGGGATGGGGAGTAGCAAAAAAACCCCCTCATCATGGGATTTCATAAAAACAGAGATTAGCTCCTATACTGAGCTCTCTTAATTAGCACTGAATATCTTCTCTTACTGCAAGGTTCTTTTATGTCACTGTCACACAAATGCTATACTTTTTTGTTCCTGAAAATACAGGTATGTAGTTCAAAACCCTACAAATAAAACAAAGTACTACTTCTCTTTGAAACTAAATTGCCTAAGTCTGTGTACTTGTATGCTTTTATTCATTTGTTTAACATTTTCCTTAAAATGTTAAGTCCTTGGTAGTGAAGGTGGCAGGACATCAAAGAGGATTTAAAATATTACTTTATCATCCTGCTAAGTCTAAGATATACAGTACAGCTAGTCCTTGACTTACAACTATTTATTTTGTGACCGTTTGAAGTTACAACAGAATAAAAAATAGTGACTTATCACCAGTGCTCACACTTATGATCGCTGTAGCAACCCCACAGTCATGTGATTAAAATTTGGTTGCTTGGTGACTAGCATGTATTTATGATTATTGCAAATCTTAGGCTCATGTGATCACCTTTTGCAATCTTCCCAGCCAGCTTCCAATGAGCAAACTCAATGGGGGAAGCTGGGTTTGCTTAATGACCACATGATTCACTTAATAACTGAAGTGATTCACTCAACAACCATGGCAAAGAAAGGTTGTTAACTCAAGTACAATTCACTTAACAACCACCTTGCTTAACAATGGAAATTCTGTTCCAATTGTGTTCTTAAGTCAGAACTATTTGTATAGAGAGATGGACTGGCCCAAGATTATCCAGCTGGCTTTGTGCCTAAAGCATAACTAGAACTCACAGCTTCCCTATTTCTAACTTGATGCCTAACTACCACTATTGTGCACCAATAATTTCTTTTTCTATCACATTAATAAAAATTGCAGTCCTGCAATAACTTTTGAGAAGTCTGAAATATGCCTCCAAGGTGTTCTTGTTTAATTGTGGCTCTTGGGACTCAGGTTGCACAACTTTGTACACTCAGCCATAGAGCTCATTGGCTGACTTGGCCTAGCCACTCGTAACCTGTCTCATATGGAGGTAATACTTTATGTGTGGGTACATTAGAAGAAAAACCCATATAAGTTGTCTTGAGCTTGGAAAGCAGAGAAAAAAGCAATGATTACTGCATAAATAAGTGCAAAAAAGTACACACAGTCAATTTTTATGTGTCACAATCTATTTTAATTAGACTGATGTCTAATCATTTTATCTGGTTATTTTTTAGAGTACAGATTGAATTCTACATGAATGACAATACCTTTAAAGAGAGGCTGAAACTATTTTTCATCAAAAACCAAAGATCAAGTAAGTGCTTTATTCTTATTTAAGCATGTGGGTAACAGAAATTCCTCCCAATAATTAGTGCCTGATAGCTGCATGAAATGGGTACATATTATATCTACTGGGATTTGCGCACACCTGGGGAATTCAGGGATCTGACAATCAGTGTTTTGTTCTACCTGTTTCTCTTCAGTGCTTTATTTGAAGACAAAGGGAATGACGTACTGTACTGCAGATGTTATATTGAGGGTGTCTTAGACACAATTAATAGTACAATATTCTTTTCAAATAGAAATTTCCTTTCATTATCTTCTTTTTGACCCTTTCTTTTCCCCTTCACACTACTGTCTTGATGCAGAAATACTATGCCCTGTCCCAAGAATGAGTGGGTACTTCATAGAAAGTTTAGATTTCCCTTTGCCTGTTATTTTTGCTATATTGTTTATTTCTGCATATAACTGAATGCTAAGTAAGGATGGCTTTAAACAGAACATCACCTAGTCTGCATTTTATTATTAAAGGGCATTTTTCCACCCATCTTTGTTGTTTTCAGGGGATTGTGATGATTATGTGGGGTGAAATAAAAGGGCTTGTTCTGATGAAAATATTGGGAATGGTATACTACCAAAATAAGCGGTCTTTTCCACCAAATTTGTATTGTGATTTTTGAGGTTTCTGAGTGCCAGGACACGAGCCCGCTTCTATATTCAGCAAAAGTTTAAACACAATAACCACAGCTTTAAACAATGGTTTACAGCTTAGCAGGGGTGGGATTCAAAGTTCTTGACAACTGGGTGTGGCCTAATTTTGGGGTGTGGGTTGGTGGTCATGTGACTGGATGGGCGTGGCTTTCTGACTAGGTGTGGCTTGTATGTAAATATTGTAAATATTTATGTAAATATTGAATTTTTTATTAAAAAAAGCAACTTTTACCCAAAAGCAGGTAATGCAGGCAGGCAGTTTGAGTTGCTCACAGAATCACAGATATACTCAGAGATCTACCATTCTGCAATCTGCTGCCTGAGTCTGTCACATAAAATTTGCTTGCAAGCAAACTCACAAAATTAACTCACAACACACCATGTATGTAAATATTGATTTTTTAATTTTAAAAAACCAACTTTTACTCAAAATCAGGCAAAGCAGGCAGATAGATTGAGTTGCTTATAGAATCACAGATTTATTCAGAGATCTATCTTTCTGCAATCTGCTACCTGAGTCTGCACTGAAAAATGGAAGTTAGGAAGGTTCAGCTCTGCTTTTAGATTAGCTAGAAAGTAAGTAATCCAACAATTTCCTGCTTTCTAGCTAATCTAAATCTCCTAACACAGCTGATAGTTGGAAGAGCTGATGGTTGAGGAAAAAAGGAAAAATAGCAACATAACAGGCATGTTGGATGGCACACATGCCAAGTAAGGAGTGACTGGGCAGGGAGGGGAGGGGCCAGCCAATGGTGCTATTTGCCAGTTCTCCGAACTGCGCAGAATCGTAACAACTGATTCTATAGAATCGGTGCAACCAGGTAGAATCCCACTCCTGGAGCTGAGTAGGATTGATATTAACTTTAATCAAGATTAAAGCAAGTTATAGATTTGAAAAGGAAGAGGATATATGGAGAAGAGAAGAAAAACTACAAAAAGTACAGCTGGTGGGCTTTAACTTAAAATGGATGGGAGATCAAGGAATAGGCTGATGTAACTTGTCTTGTAATGTTTAATGTATAGTGTGAACAAAAAAAAATGACCTATTAATTTAAACATTATCATAGTATAATTAATGTAACTGTAGTTAAACAGCCATAGTCCAGAGGTTCTCCAGTACTGTGACATATGAAAATGATAGATGAATGTATGCAACCCCCTTCATGAATAAAATAGTAATTTCATTGGGACAAAAGAAAACAGAAAATCCACTAAATTAAATGTAACTTTCATGACAGACATATTTTTATAAGGACTACCCAAACAGGCTTTTATCACCCAACAAAAATGCTTCTGTTTTGAGAGGTTAGGAATATAAAAATATAATTGAAAAAGATTAATACAATTTCATAACTCTACTATGGCCCTATGGGACCAGGAGGACAAGAAGGAAGAAGAGAAGTAGAAGGAAGTAGAGCTATGGATATCTTGGGATGAAAATCTTGGAAAAGGTAATTCTAGCAATATGATGCCAATGACTCCACTGTGGCAAGGACAGATCCAACAAGCCCCCACAACTCCCTCAGCCATCTTGAGGGTAGAACTCCTCAAATTAAACTGATTGGCCAAAAAGCAGGCCAGCAGATGAGTAGACTGTATTTCAGTAGAAGTTGCCTTGGTTTATTTAATGATCTCCCTCCGTGACTATAAAAGCCACTTTTAATGTCTTAATTTTCTCAAGTTTACTTGTCATGCCATACTTAGAACTCTGAATTTCAGCTTTCCTGCCAAAATAGGGTATGGGGAGTCTGTGTACCTCATTTTTGCCCTCCATGGCCTCCTGCAGTACTCTGCCTATGAAAAACTGACTGTGTGGACCATTTGGGGGTCTGTTTTTGGCCTGTTTTTGGCCCATTTTTAGCTTGTTTTGGGTCTATTTTTGGCCTGTTTTCCAGCCTCTTGGGCCTGATTTTCATCCTGTTTTGGGCCCATTTTTGGTCCATTTTTAAGTCATTTTTTATCTCCTTCAGACCTGTTTTTGGACCATTTGGGGCCCATTTTTTCAGATTGTTTTTTGGCCTATTTGGGGTGCCTTTTACGTCCATTTTTCAGCTCATTTTAAAAATCTTTTTGGAGCCTTTTTTCGGCCTGTTTCGGGGCCTGTTTTTCAGCCCATTTTTGGACTCTTTTGGGCCCTTTTTTGCAGTTGATTTTCGGAGGGTAAAAACAAGCTGTGTGGGGCAGCATGCAGCCCGTTTTAACTGCCAGAGGCACCGCGGACCAGTCCCTTGATATATCTAGACTGGTGCCATGGGCCAGATTTAAACATTCCGCAAGCCAGATCTGGCCCGTGGGCCATGAGTTTGACACCCCTGCTTTAGATTGTATATATGGATTTCTTTTTCTGTTTTTAAATCGTTCTAGGCAAGATCATTTGATTCCTCTGTGTTATATATTTTGATTATATTTTCATTCTTTTTTCTTTAATTTTTTGCAAAATTACATTACAGTAATGTGAAACTTAGTTGACTTCTGCTCAACCAAGAAACTCTTTACTGAATTGTTTAGTGTTTAAAAAATGCTTATTATTTAAGAAACTATTCAGACTAAGACATTTTAGGAATGTCTTAGGAAGTTTTAAAATCTTTAGTTGGCTTTTTGTAAATCTAAAACTCTTTCAGTTAAATTTCTTGAGAATACTCTGATACCTTATTATCAGTTTATGTGAAGTTTGAAGTTCTAGAAAATGAAAAAAAAAATATGTTCAGGGTCTTATCATTCAGAATTAATTTGCCCCAAGAATGAATTAATCTACATTGTTTAGGATTAATAGATCAACCAACCGAGACCTATAAATTGCACATTCTAGAAGACTGCATATACAACGTTCTTTTTTGTTGTTGTTGTTATTATTAGGAAGAATTAAGGCAGATGCCTTAAGTTGGGGATTTTGTTATGCATGAATAATATAGTTCTTTCAGGATTTTATTTTATTTTAGAATAATAGTGACCTTGAATACCCTAGATAGAAATATTAGGTATAAATGGAAAATAAATAAATAAATATTTTAGTGACTCCTTTTAATGATCAGGTTTTCTTGATTTCTGTGACTTCATTTTTATATGGTTACATTATCTGCTAGTTTTTCCTTTTTTTTAAAATAATGTTATGACATCAATTGATGAAAAATCAGGATGGGAATTTCAATCAATCTATCTTTTATAAAACAGAAACAGGCTATAAGCTATAATTAATCAGTTTTTCATTTTTCATGACAATAAAATTGCTGAATACAATTATAATGGCAGCAAATGGAAATTTTTAGCTAATTAGAAGGAAATGAAGGTTGATTAGACTAACAAATATCACTTTTTTTTCTGATGAAGGGTTATGGTGAATACTGTATGAATTTACATGCTGGATAGATAGATGCCAAGTCATATAGGGAAGAAAGTAAGAGAAAGGATGCTGTTGATCTGGTAAACAGACACTTTTCTTTCTCTTTTGCTAAATGCATCAAGAGGAAAAAAAATTCCACACAGAGTACATGATGCTACTGTTGGACCTTTTGTCACTTTTTAGTGTAAATACTTGTTGGATGTCCTGTACAAAATAAAGCAACTCTTTTTTAAAAAGCTGCAGTTATGATTCTCTATGCAGGGTAAACACATGGACTGAATTTAATTCTGTAATACTATGTTGTATGCTTATACTTTTCTGTTTAGTAACTTTTAATTGTAATACTATTATAATGAGGATACAGTAAAAAGTGTTCACTCAGTTTTTTTCACTTGTATAAACAGATTAAACAGTATAGCAATAGCACTTAGACTTATATACTGCTTTACAGTACTTTCCAGCCCTCTCTAAGTGGTTTACAGAGTCAGCATATTGCCCCCAACAATTTGGGTCTTCATTTTACCCATCTCGGATGGATGCAAGTCAACCTTGAGGCTGGTGAGATCTGAACTGCCAAACTGCAGGCAGTCGGCAGTCAACAGAAGTAGTCTGCAGTACTGCACTCTAACCACTGCGCCACCATGGTTCATAGTTTATTGTTGGTTCATTTGCAAACTTATGCCTATGTGAATAATTTCCTTGATTGCAAGGTGTTAGGATTCACCTTTAATGAAACCCCCTTAAATGTAAATATATTTTAAGCACTGACACCCTATAATGCAACAAATATTGAAAACATCTAATAATAAAAGTAAAATAATTTATATTGAAAAAAATATAAATATAAAAACAAATAAAATGTGATGTTTAATACTGTTTGCTTTTTGTCTCATTGATTTCTTCAAGGTATGTTTTATGCTGAATTATTTTATCTTTTTTATTTTTATAATTTGTAATTTTATTTTATTTTTTCTTTTAAATGT